GATCACAACATATTGTTGTGCAATAAAACCGTGAATCAAAGTGGTACTGAGATCAAAAATAAGAAGATTTTCAAACCCAAACAGCAACAACTGTTAACAGTTGATCAAAGCTGTAGTAGAAATAACCAAGAGGAAGAAGCTAATAACTATCAAGGAGATAGCTCTGATGATTCGGGACCAATAATGTTAAACAACGTAGACCAAGTTCACGAAACAGAAAAGATAATCTTGAAAACAGCTGAAATAAAAGCGTATAACCATAAAAGAAATCGCTTCGAGAATATAAACGTTATCATAGATGAAGGATCTATGAGATCCCTAATAACGGAAGACTATGCCAAAAAGCTAGGTCTACCGATAAAGGGAGCGACAACAAAAACCTTTTATGGTATAGGAGGTATGAAAGATACACATCCGGTAAAGGAGGTATCAATCGTTTTAAAATCAAAGAAGGGAAAGGTAGAACTTCTCTTAAATACAAAACCTTGTATAACAGTTGCAGTATCGGCTCCTATTCTCAAAAACGGAGATAGACGATACATCAAAGCCAACAATATACAGCTAGCTAACACTAAAATGAATGGAGAACAATTCCAACCACATTTGTTGATTGGAATGGATTGCTATAAAGAAATCGCAGACATAGATACCAACGAAAGGGTTCTGCCGTCTGGATTGTTAGTAAGGAATACCCTTTTTGGAGGAGTAGTATACGGAGTTATTCCGAACGAAGTAAAAACAAAGAATGTCTCACTGTTCGTCTTCTATAATGATGAAAGTAGGGAACTAACTCCAGCTGAGATAGCCAACAAGCTTTTCAGCATAGATAACTTGGGCATAGATTTCCAAGAAGAGGAGAAAGCTGAAATAACCATGCAGTACTATGAAGAGTACTCATTGGGCATTGTAATAAAAAACAAAAGAATAACAGCACCGTTTCCGGTAACAGATAAAATCAGCTTATTACAAGATAATAAAAAAGTTGCCATGAAGCGCATCCACTGCCTAAGAATGCAGTTAGAGAAGAACCCAGACCAGAATAGATGGTACAATCAAATTATGGGGGATTACATAAAAAACGGCATAGTAGAAAAGGTACCAAACACCGATAACGCC